GAGGAACCTCTTGTGAAGAGAGAGATGGAGGTGTGGTGGGGCACCCTCAGGCATCTCAAATGGCAGTCAGTAGACACATCTATATGGACACCTATGTAGGGTGGTCAAGAAGACTTCAAGAACGTAACCTTTTTATAAACCCAAGTCTCAGAACAAGATTCTCTTGTTAAGCTTGAGAGTTTTCTAGGTGTTAGCCCTTGGGTATTTTGAAAAATGTAAATACATGTATAATTTATGTGGGAAAATGCTTTCCTTCCCTCTTTGGAAATGGTCACTTGTGAAAACAAGCTTGCAAATATTGTTGGCCCAGAAGGGTTCCAGGCCAAAGGAGCCTGACCCTTACATAACACGTGAGAAAATGCTCAGCCATGGATACACATGGCTGCTTTAAGTTTTCTACATCTAGCAGTCATTGGACAAAATACAGAAATAAAGACAAATGCAGATAGAGCTTGAATCAGCATCATAAAATATACTAATGATGAATGTTGATACATCAAGATGTACTGGGAGACAGAATAAAAGATCAAGAGCAAATGCATTTATTTACTTTTTATAGCATGTCACTATTTTATTTTCCTCTTGTTACCCCTCCATGTAGGATGTGCTACTTAGAGCAGACTTAACCACCTGTTCAGTAGAGAAATAAAATGCTTTAGAAAAGCATTTTCCATTTCTTCCCTTTAGTGTCCACCAGTGGATGTTCTCTCTGGCCCCAGAAGCAGCTGGTGTAACTCAAATAGCGCATTAAAGTGCCTTGTGATCCTTTCTGTTGTGTACATGGCACTTTAACCTGTTTGCTCTTGGACTTTCTCCTCTAACAACTTCCCTCAAAAACAAGTTGCTTTTTACTTGGGAGGGAGATTTGTGTGTTGTCAGAGAAGAAGATTCAAATTGGGCACAGCATCATAAACACAACACTTGCAAATCTCTCCAGTTTTAGGCAGTAGGAAAATGAGTTCCTAGCATTTGCTAGTACTTCTCCAGACTAGGGTGTTCATTAAACAATGCTAATGTTTTTCTTCTCTTAAAAGCCAAGCTATGGTATGAGGCAGCCTTGTGTTTAGCAGTTGCTCACTGACTAAAAATCCTATGGCAACCAATAAATGGAAGCCAAAAAATGTTGCAATATTATTTTAGAGGACTCGTCTGCTTATTTTTACAGTTAGCCTTGCATAACCTTCTACATTTTTGGACTCTGCCTTATGTAGAATATTTCTTAAAGTTTCCATTTATTTCAATTGTGTGCTGCACATTAGGAAAACTCCTAAAAGAATTAGAAAAAATGAGTCACAAATACTTTCCCTTTATGATGTTATCCTGCCCTTCTAGAACCCATTTATGCGCTGCCCTTACATAACATTTATTTGGTGCTACAATTTTGCTAAGCATCTTACAATAATTTCTTTGATATGCAAAGCAAAAATGAAAACAGTGTCGTGGTAGTAACTGAAATGTGTTTGCTTCCTGGGATTTAAACATATGGACACAACAAATGATATCTGGCTTCCAGCTGAAGACCAGAACTGGATTTCCAGCTTGAGCAATCACATACCCATCTCAAGAGTGTGTAGGGTGTGAGATGGTCTTTTTTTTTTTCAGGGTGGTTGTGGAGATGCATCTTTATAAGCAATGAAAAGCAGTGTAATGTTAGGTTTAAAATGATGCATGAAAAAAATCCATTCAGTATCAGTGCAGCTCAAGTGCTTGGTGCATGCACACCTCTGTATTGCCCTGGCACAGCTAATGATTACCAGCAGAATATCAAAGACTACATCTGTAAGATTCAGCCTTGATGCATATAGTGCCCTAGAAATTGTACATTTCACTCTCTCCTCCCACAAAAACAGCCTCAAAATCCCTGCAGCCTGTTCCTCTGTGGCAGCAGTGTAGCAGTACATGAATTCCTTCAAGCTGGCTCTCTGTAGGTTGACTGGTTCATGCCTGATGTCGCAACCCCATCACCCATGACAAATTACACATGCAACTCTTGCAAAATTGTATTCTGAATAAATAAAGGCTTGGAACTTTATCCCTGTCTTTCTTCAGCAAACAGGATCTTAGGTAGGATGGAAATGAACAGGTTTGTGGGCTGGCATGTGAGCATGAGGCTGTGTGTGCTCCTGCATAAATGAACAGTCCCAAATGGGAGGGGGGTGGGCATGCACCATTCTGCCTCTGTGCACCAAGCTGAGTAAGAAGCTGAAACAGGAAATTATGACATGTTCCTCTGCTGCTTCAGAGCAACCTAGCTTATCTCTCCAGCAAGAGGAGCTGGGAAAAGTTTGGTGCTTCTGTAGGGTGGAGATTTCCAACAAGCAGCGCTGGCAGCTGGGAAGGGAGAGAGCTGATGGGATGGCAGCATCCTGGCTGTCACCTTTTCGGGAGATCCTTGTCCATACAGATACATAGGTTTTGTAATTGAAAATATGTGTCACCTTGTGCATATATAGAAGAATAACAGGGAAAGCAACCAGTTTAGCTCTTAGATTCTTTGAATACCCTCAGGTGGGTTTCAGCACACAGAACTTTAGGTTTCTGCAGGAAGGATGTCTCAGTTCCTGACATTTCATGGAGACGCAATCTGCCCAGTCTCTGGAGCCCAGAGAATGATTTATGTCATCCCAAAGCAGACACTGATATTTAATCAAATTAGTGATGCCCTACACCCTTTGTCTGAGACCTATCTGGTTTTTAAAACAGTGACCAAAGCATGTAGCTCAAATATAGAAAGCAAAGTTGTCATCACCAGAAATCAGGAGAGCTGTATCCTACTTTTAGCCTGACATAAAGGCTAAGAAAATAAATGTGATAATTTACTTCCCCATTGGTTTCCATGGGCCTTGAACAGAGACATTAAAAGTAAGAAATAAAAGAAGCATATGTGCAAACAGATATTTTTTACATGAAAAAGTATGCATTTAAAGATAATAAGGGAGAATATACCTATTCATATGCTAAACCTATTAAAATGTAAACTTGGGCTGCAAGTTCTTTGGGATGAGGACAGGAGGTTTTTTCTCTATATTTGTACATAGCAGCATAACAAAGGATATGCCTAGGTCCTTCTGACTACTGAAGTAAAATTAATATATTAGAATGGTTGAATAGTTTTAGGATCAAGTACAATATGTCCTATCTTATGAGATCAGCAGCCTCCTGGTATTCTTCAGACAAGGCCTCTGCTCTTTTCTAATTGAATTCTCTGTGGATTTTTTTACAAATTTTATCTATGAACTTTAGCTGCAACTGACCTAATATTGCAAAACCCATTTCTCACAGAACCTAAGCAGGTTTTAACCCAGCTTTTGAAAGGAAAGCAAAATATAATAATCTACTTCAGCAACTGGACTCAGAAAGCAATCTATTAAGGGCAATTTTCCTTCCATTGTCTTTCTCTGATGAAAGGTCACATAAAAATCTTGTAAACTGAGCTATTGTTTGTCATTTTAGATGCTCCCTGTATACCTTGGAAGAGCAGTTCAAGAAAAACATACAATATGTTTTCTGAAGGCTTTCTTTAAAGCAAATAGATTTTTAGTTACATCAGACAGTGCATTACATGCTGTATAGCTACACTTCAGAGTAAGCAATCATAACACTTTTATGAGATATGAGATAAAAAAGAGATAGAAGTTTTTTTAAAGTTTAAATTTACAGGTTTGATAAGCATGGTTTACTGGTTTATAAAACCAAACTGAGCGGGACAGTGTCAACAATGATCCTTTCTGATCTGCACTGATGTTTTGTACAGTCCTGTTTGGTTTATTGCTATTGTTAATTTTATGAATATATTTATTCATTTATGTATTTATGCTCAGTGCTGACAAGTACTGGAAATATTGCCAGGAACAAGGCTTTTATGTTGATAGCCATAGCCTTGAACTTCTGTTAGGAAGGTGCCTGTGCCACTCTAGTGAACTGCCCACATTGATCCATCTCCAATGTCTGGACCTGATTGCAAGTTCTCCAGAACAAGAATTCTCTTCTTCAAGGGTCCTCAGGCTGCAGTCAGTCTGCAAAGCCTCTATTTGGGGTCCCAAAGCATCTTCTTACTTGAAGGCAGCACTGGCAGACCCAGGTGGGCACCACTGTGTGAAGGGCTGTGGAGTTTAGGAAAGTCCAAAGAGGAGGTGCTGCAGTTTGGTTTTGCTACACACCCCCAGCCCAGCCTTCAGATGGTTGGAGGTATGTCCTCTTGTTTATAACCCAGTATGGTGTTTCTTGCAACAGGAAATGCTGCTGTAAAGGAACATTGTTGAAAATTATGTGTACTTAGTGCTTGCTGGAGGTTATTGCAACACAGATTTACTGATCTATTAATTATGGTAGGTTAATTATAACAAATCCCTCTTCCTTACTCAGAATGAATGGCCTTCATGAAGGGGAGGTTGTGAAACGGGAAGAGAAAGATTAATTTATTTTTTAAAAAAGAATGAATTAGACAAAGAGAGAGGGGGAATGCAGAGCACTCTCTCATCCCTTCTCACAGTTTGATACATTCCAGGTTCCTTTTTTTGTTGCTACTGTCACTTGTCCGATCTCCCACTGCAATGCATAATTCCCAGCCAATGCATTCAAGTATTTCATACTTGAATGAAAGACAAATGTCTTTCCAGCTTGCTCTGTAGTGCTTTCTCCTTTCATATTTTAACAAAGGTTTTGTAATTTAGGGTGTTTTTTAAGACCTCATCTTCTGGAGTGTTTTCTTCTGCCCCTGATTTAAACTCTGTATTTATGTCTCATGATTGTACAGTGAAAATAAAACAACAGAGATGTAATAAAGTATTTTAGGATGTAGGTTTTTTTTTTTTTTTTTTTTAAGTTCAGAGTTTTTAAACAACCTGTGTGTGTTTTGGAGTCTTGACTTGTTTGTTATTTTTGGTGCTGAAGTTGAACTGAACTATAAAAGCCAAGAAATGTTGTAAGCACAGCTCTAACTACTGTCTTGTAATTTTATTTCATTCAGCTGCTGTGGGCTTATATGGCCACTGAAAGGAATGCAGTCCTGGCCGAGTACTTTTCCAGTGAAAAAATGTTAATTTGTTCCATGCCATCACCATTTTTTCATGTACCTATGTTCAAAGTCAACTTTCACTGATCACCCCAGGTAAGATACAGAATGAAAGAGAAGAAAACTGCAGTTCTATGTAATTTCTAGACTTCTCAGAAATTATATTCTTTAGGAGCAGTGAATTTTAAAAGTTTTGTGGTTTAGTGGTTTTTATAATATACATAATTGTTTTACAAATCAGTATTCCTCTGCAAAATATCTCAAATGTCAGAAATAAAAGATAATAAAAATAATGCACATTATCAGTGAAACTGATAAAACAGAAAAGCCCTTAGATGGCCATTTCACGCCAGGAACCTTCAGAAGTAATGCTGTTTTGATCCCAGTTCTGGACCATGACATGTTGGACGTAGCTTAGAAATTCCAGACCTGTGTTCAGAAATAACTGCCTGAAGCTGAGTTCAATATACAAAAAGTATTTTTATCATTATTTAATTATATTAATTAGATATTTTAAAAATATATAACATCTATATAAATATTGCCCATAATTAATACTATATGATACATATTATATATTAAAATGATGTAGTGTAATAAAATATATTTGTGTGTGAGTGTAATTTGAAAATACTTACATCTTTAAATCTATGCATTTATATATAGACAAAACCACAGACCATTCTGTGGTCTCTTCTGCTCAGCTAGGTAAGGAAGAAGTTCTCATGCTGCATGACAAAGGCCTGTTTCATCAGACTGCTCTGTCATTCCTTTCATATAAACAGGGCTAAGCAGAACCACTAGTGACAAAGGAGCAGGTTGCAGATGCCTCATTGCACAGATTTTTCTTTCATTCTGAGAAGTTTCTAGGGCAGAATGACTCACATGGTTGATGGTACCAATGCTTACAAGAAATAGGAAAAGGTTAGGTGGAAGGAATGCAGCAAATTGATTGAAAGAACTCAAATCTCCATAGTCATCCAGCGTCTTCCTGATCTGAATCTATTAATTTCCTTCCCTTCCCTTCCCTTCCCTTCCCTTCCCTTCCCTTCCCTTCCCTTCCCTTCCC